AGCCAGATCTAAACACAAGTTTAAGGGTTTTATAAGAGTTATGTTGTAGGAAAAGTGATTGTGTAATGTTATAGAGATTCATTTTGCGTGCCATAATTTTTTCATTTTCTTTTTTCTTCAAAAAGTGTGGGCCCCACAAAATGTTGCGTGTGTAGGAAAGTTTGTTGTGTCATGTTAAATGACAATTGCAAATCCCTAAGTTTAAAACCATTAACATCCAACATAGAAACTGAAATAAGGTTCCTAGATAATGAAGGTACATAAAGGGTGCGTAATAGGTCTAAATGATAGCCACTATCTAAGACCAGACGATAAGTCCCTGTGCCTTCAATCGAAGATTTCTTTCTGTTTCCCATAAAGAGAAAACGATCTTCATTTGGATTTATAGTTCGGATCGTAACGAATCCCTGCAAGTTGTTGAAAATATTCATTTTAATGAACATAAGGCTCATCCTGTTACTTCGATTTCATGCCTTAAGGTTAGATTTCTCTTCCTCACTACTGATTTCAGTAATAGCAGCGGCTTCATTCTCAAGGAGTGCCAAGTCAAGATCCATAACACCTAAATGAAAATTGACTTGTTCACGCCATTCTGAGAAAGAATAATTGAATAATTGAATAACTGAATAAAATGATCTTGGGAAAGCAATTCCTATAATAAATCTGACAATACTCGAACTGAAATAATTGAATAATCAATGAACCGTAGATAAATAACAATAAATTCAGGTAAACTTTCTTTGTGGGAGACCTTTGTTGGGGTGAGTTCCTCCCTTCAATGCTTGGTGGCTAAGGCATACACTACATTTATGGGTGAATGACTCAATGTCTTAACAACCATCTCAATAAATGTTACCCATCTCTTTAATGATGAAAAATTATAGAAGATGGTGTAAGATTTCTCCTCACCTTTATAATTCACATGAAATATTTTGTAATAGGTTAGAGAGAGCTAAGTAAGATAAATGAGAAACTTCTGAAGAAAAGTTTGAATGTGAGACCTCTTTACAAAAGAATCTTGTAACGATTATTGTTGGTAAAGTTTGAGTGTACCTCTAATGAGACTAGAGAAGTTTGAATCCTTTATAATTATATTATTCATAGTGTAAGATTTTATTTATAGACTAGGTTCCGTGATTTTTATTTCTTGTTGTGTTTTTACTCTCCATCTCTTTTGTATGTAATTTTCTTTGTTTATGTGATTTGGCCAAGCTGATGATTTTAAGCCGATTTAGGAACCGCATCCGAACAACCTTTAGAGCTGTGTGTATTATGAAAATAAAATTTGAACCGCCTTTTGCTTTGACAGCTCGAAATCATTTGTGGCAAGCAGAATTTATTCTGTCCAACTCTTGTCAAACAAGTTGTCACACTTCAAAATCAGTTTGAGGACTGAAATTGGATTCTGTCTTTTTTTCAATGATTCTAGCAAGGTCTTAAAATCTTAAAGAAACATACTACACATCTTACAATAAATAAAGTTTTCCCTGACTTGTTTAAATTGGATTGGACACTGAACCTTCTCAAACTCACCCCACATGCTAACCCCTTTTGCAAGAATATTTTTGGGATTCTCGAATGAAATAATGCAATATGTGTCCCCTTAAAAGTGAATGAGATTCACCGCATTCACACATATGATCACTAGTGAACTTATATTTTAAAAAGTGAGAATTATATGTTTCCTCCTAAATAGAAATGCGAAACATATCACAGTATTGAGCATTACCCTGTTATTCATTTCTTATTTATTTATTTTTTACCTGATATGGTGCTCATCAAGTATTTAATTTGCATAGAATTATATTTAAAAGTTCTAAATATTTATTATGAAATCAGTATTCAAAAGGGTCTTCGGAAATACTAAAAGTGTTGAACAATGAAGTTTTATGATCTCACTTAATTTTTTTTTATTCACTACTCCCATTAATAATAAGCTTCAATCCCATGCAAGTACAGTACTCTTTATCCAATTAGTTATATAGGCCATACCTACATATGTGATGGCTTGTTTTCGTCTTCCAGAAATATTGTGTTATAAAATTCAGAAGCTAAACCTATATTACAAAGGATGGACGTTAAAGAATATGAACAAGTTCACATGGCATTTTCATTCTTTGGGTTTTTATATTGTGATTCATGTTAAAAAGTCGCCATGGAAATTCTATATGAAGGAGACAATCCGAGTGGCAAAAATTGCCATGGTCTGAATTGAAGAGTCATCCTGGTACTTTTGCTAATTGCGTAAATAGTCTTAAATGGGTGACTTTCATACTTTGGTTATTTGGAAGTGTAGAAATAACCAAATCTTTAGCTGTTAAAAATTGCCAGACTTAATTTATAGTCACTCTTAAGGATAGTTTGTAACAATTTCACATAGTCCTTCCCTTGTTTGGAAGTGACCTTGGTTTACTGTCCATCGATTGTATTTGAAGTTATGTATCTTTTCATTTTAATTAATGAATTTCAATCTCAGTTAAAAATAAATAATAAATAAATGTGTGTATAACTTCTTAACCTTTTCACTTTGTGCCAAAAAGACCTTCGATTAGTGAAACTATTTATTGACATAATTCACATGTGAGTTCCACCTAACACAACAAAATTAAATGAACAAAAAAAAATCTTTCCAAGAGATCAAGATGAAATTGATTTTTGTCTAGACTCAAATACTTGATGTTGTAGACAATACCATCTTTCTCATTTTATGATTACAAAGGTGAAGAAATGGAAAGTGACATTGAGGATGGAGAAAAAAGGAGAAGAGTTGGAGGAAGAGAAAGGAACATGAAATGTGTTAGAGAATAATATAAAGTATTAAAAAGACCATCACCTAACACCTTAAGGTTTTGGGTTAAAATAATTTTTAACATGGTATCAAAGCAGCTGCAGTCACCATGATGTCTCTAGTTTGATCCTCACCGTCCCCCACTTTCAGGTGGAATTAAGAAAAGCACAAGACAGACAAAAAATAGGCTTGTGCGGCACAAGGCAGACCAATAATGGGCTTGTGCCATATCCACGCTTCAAGCCCAAAGGACTCTTGCGTGAGGGGGTGTGTTAGAGAATATAATATAAATAATTAAAAATACCCTTATCCAACAACACCTTTGTTAAGAATGGTACGGAGGAGCCCAAAGCCCATTGCAAGGGATACATCCATGGGCCAAGTGATAAACCACAATAAGTGGGTCGACACCACATCTCAACCCAAAACCTTAAGGTTGTAGGTTTATGGGTCTTTTTGCACTTATATGGTCATCACTTGGTCTATGTCTAGCCGATGTGGTACTTTCTTATAACTCATACTTGAATACTTCCAACATCTCCCCTCAAGTGTGAGACCCAATATCATGCTCCCCTTAAGGGCAACTTCTGCAGAAGTCTTTTTTCTTTAACTATTGGAGTCACACTAAGCCTTCTGCGGAGCCCTTGAAACATCACCATCTCTAAATACTTGGCCCAACACCTTTGGCTCTGATACCACTGTTAAAAATGGTACGAGGGAGCCCAAAACCCATTGCAATAGATACATCCATGGGCCAAGTGATAAACCACAATAAGTGGGTCGACACCACATCTCAAACCAAAACCTTAAGGCTGTAGGTTTATGGGTCTTTTTGCACTTATATGGTCATCACTTGGTCTATGTATAGCCGATGAAGGTGTCATAAATTTGGTCATTATCAATCTGAATGTTATACTAGGTTGGTTTTATAAAGTGTCCTTATGAACATACACTCTTTGTTAAGATTGGTGATGAAGGAAAAATGCTTATTGTTTGCTTATATGTAGATGATCTTATATTCACTGGAAATTGTGATGTTATGTTTGTAGAATTTAAAAAGTCTATGATGAATGAGTTTGAAATGACTGATCTTGGTATAATGCATTACTTTCTTGGCATAAGTGTAGCACAATCAAGTGATGGAATTTTTATTTCTCAAAATAAATATGTGGAAGATATTCTAGACAGGTTTCAGATGAAGGATTGTAATCATGTGCACACTCCAGTTGAATGTGGCTTGAAGCTACATAAAGATCATGGAGGAAAGAAGGTTGACAACACCTTCTACAAACAAATTGTGGGAAGTTTGATGTATCTCACTGCAACAAGGCCAGACATAATGTATTATGTGAGTTTAATTAGCAGGTATATGGAGAATCCTACAGAAATGCATTTGTTGGCTGCCAAGAGAATCCTTCGCTACTTGCAAGGAACAAGAAAATTCGGGATATTTTACAAGAGGGTGTAAAATCTGATTTAGTGGGATTTACTGATAGTGATTACGCAGGAGATCAAGATGACAGGAAGAGCACTTCAGGTTATGTTTTTATGATTGGTACAGGTGCTATTTCTTGGGCATCGAAGAAGCAACCAATTGTCACTTTGTCAAGCACATAAGCTGAATTTGTTGCTGCTATAGCTTGTGCATGCCAAGCCATTTGGCTAAGGAGAATTCTTGAGGAGCTTCAATTCAAGCAACTCAAAGCTACTCAAATTATGTGTGATAATAATTCAGCAATTAGATTATCCAAGAATCCTGTGCTACATGGAAGAAGCAAGCACATTGATGTGAAGTTTTATTTTATAAGAGATCTTTGTAATGATGGAGCTATTGATTTAATCTACTGCAGGAGTGAAGACCAGATTGCTGATATTTTCACTAAAGCTCTCAAGATGGAGTCATTTGTGAAGTTAAGAAGATTATTAGGTGTCTGTATACTTTAAACTGACTGTTAGCAAACATCAGTTTAAGGGAGGGAATGTTGAAGTCTTTTTAGTTTCTTGTGTCAGTTACAATATTGAAGAGTTAATTGTCTTTTGGTTTTTCTTATGTAAGTTATGAAGTTAAATTGTTATGTTTATTAGGGATATAATGGTTGACGTTATGACATTATGAGTAGTTAATTAGTGGTGTTATGAGGGTGTTATGAGACTCTTGATTAGCTTTGTAATAAGTCTCTTCATTGATACTTTCAGTTTTTTATGTTGCCTATTAATAAGCTTGATGTGTTGAAGAAATAGTATTCCCTTTTGCAAATTCAGAACGATGTTGTTTGCTAACAACACATTCTTCACATACTAAGGAATAAGGAATTGTGATTTGAGGAAGGCTTGTCACCATATTTTTCTGTTGGAGCGTCTTCAACCCACCCAAGCTTAAATGGCCATAGCGAAAATGCCACAACCATGAAGGATCTTTCATTTCAGCCATTAAACTAGTTTGGATTCCTTCAATCTTTAATGGAAACAATCTTTTTGAACTCATCTGAATAACAACTATAGCTCCTCTAACAGAATCATATATTTCACAAACACCATTTTTAATAGTGATCACATAACCCTTTTCTTGTAATTGGCCAGCATTCAATAAATTACTTTTCAAATCAGGAACATACAATACATTAGATATTGTTTCCACAAAACCATTCTTGGTTTTTATTTTAATGTCACCTTTTCCCATTACTTTCACAGTAGAATGATCACCAAAACTCACAGTAGTTTGAAAACTTTCATTCAGATGAGAGAAAGAAGACTTACTACCACTCATGTGATTGCTGCAGCCAGTATCCACATACCAAACATCTGGCTCAATTTTCTTTTCATCTTTAGCAACCATCAATAAGGTTTCACCTTCCTCATTTTCTGCAAAGTTTGAACTTTCTCCTTTTTCTTTGTTATTTGAAGCTTTTTGCGAAGAACATGGCATCCGAAAAGAGCTTACAACTGCGTATACACCACAACAAAATGGTGTATTAGAGAGGAAGAATATAACCGTCCTCAACATGGTTAGAAGCTTGTTGGCAAGAGGAAGAGTTCCAAAGACGTTTTGGCCAGAAGCTGTAAACTGGTGCATTCATGTCTTGAACAGAAGTCCAACCTTTGCAGTTCGAAATATGACGCCAGAAGAGGCTTGAAGTGGGAGAAAACCAAATGTGGATCACTTTAGAATTTTTGGATGCATTCCATATGCTCATGTCCCGGATCAGAAAAGAAAAAAACTTGATGACAAGGCTGAAAAATGTGTCTTTCTAGGTGTAAGTGATACATCTAAAGCATATAAATTATTTAATCCACTGACAAAAAAAATTATGGTTAGCAAGGATGTTGTTTTTGATGAAGAAAACACTTGGGATTGGAATATGCAGCAGCCTACCCAAGTTCTTTGTGATATTGATTCTGAACAAGAACAAATTTCAGCATCTAGTATGCCTGAAAATTCGTCCATTGCAACTTCTTCAGCTAGTCAATCCTCACCAACAGTAGTTGGAGTTAACGAAGAAGGAACTCAATCTTTTCGTCGTGTTAGAAGAAGGCCTGCTTAGATGGAAGATTATGAGGTAACTGGAATTGAAGATCTAATTACTCACTTTGCTTTGTTTTCAGAATGTGATCCCGTGACTTTTGAGAGTGCTGTCAAAGAAGAAAAATGGCGAAAAACAATAGATGCTGAAATTGATGCAATTGAGAGGAATGACACTTGGGAGTTAACTGATCTTCCAAATGGACATAAAACTATTGGTGTGAAGTGGGTGTTCAAAACAAAGTTAAAGGAAAATGGTGAAATTGACAAGCACAAAGCACGCTTGGTTGTCAAGGGGTACAAGCAACAGTATGGGATTGATTATACATAAGTTTTTTCTCCTGTTGCGAGACATGATACAATCAAGTTGGTGGTTATATTTGCTGCACAAAATTCTTGGCCTATTTACCAGTTAGATGTCAAATCGGCATTCTTGCATGGGTACTTGGAGGAACAAATATTTATTGAACAACCCCCTGGTTATGAGAAGGTTGGAAATGAGCATAAAGTTTACAAATTGAAAAAGGCACTTTATGGACTAAAACAAGCCCCTCGAGCTTGGTATAGTCGCATTGAGTCTTATTTTCTTAAGGCTGTAGGTTTATGGGTCTTTTTGCACTTATATGGTCATCACTTAGTCTATGTCTAGCCGACATGGTACTTCCTTATAACTCATACTTGAATACTTCCAACAACCTTAAGGTTTTGTCTAGACTCAAATACTTGATGTTGTAGACAATACCATCTTTCTCATTCTATGATTACAAAGGTGAAGAAGTGGAAAGTGACATTGAGGATGGAGAAAAAAGGAGAAGAGTTGGAGGAAGAGAAAGGAACATGAAATGTTAGAATTGAAGAGAGAGCCATGGCAGGAAATGATGATGGATTTCGTTTGGATTTTGGAGAATATAGAGTTGAGAGTGTAAGATGGAGTTTGCAGAATAGGCTTTGCTAACGAGGAAGAGGTGTGTGGTAAAGAGATGTACTTTGCAAGGGGCCTTGATGTTGATGGCATAGGCGATTGCAGATGCAGTGGTAGAGGAGATGGTGAATGGTGATTATAATTCAATGGGCTCTAGTGAGGATGATGGGAAAGAGGCCTAGAGTGGAAGAATATTACAAGAGAATGGTGGAGGAAAATCCTAACAACCCATCGTTTCATAGGAATTATGCTCAATATTTTGCAGGTAAGTTCTATTTCCTTTTTGAAAAGAACTCTAAGTTGTTGTCCAATTGTTGGAAAACTCATCCTCGTAACTCTTAATGGAGGGGTTCCAGTGTTTTAGCTTAAATAGTGTTCTTCAAAAGGTAAGGGATTTAAAAGACTTCTTTGTTAATATTTTTTTCCCCCCACCTGTTTTGGTCTGTAATGTGCAACTTACATGTGAATTATATTAGCAGTTAACCATTTTTTTAACAAAAGGTCTTCTTTGCATAATGTGTTTTTTTTTTAAGTTAACTCAACTCTAATTACTTCTCGAGGCGAGTTGACTTTTCCCGATATTCTCACAATTTTCGATATATTTTTAGGGATAGGATATTGTGACACCCAAGTTATGTTACACCCATGTGACACCCAGTCAATCTCACCGTTAGATTGCTTATGTTGATCCAACGGTTATATTTATTTCCATCTTTGTATGGTCATGATTTCCCAAATTTAAAGTGAATGCATTAAATATGGGAAATCATAACCATACAAAGGTAGAAATAAATATAAAATATTAAATTTGGGAAATCATGACCATACAAAGATGGGAATAAATATAACCGTTGGATCAACATAAGCGATCTAACGGTGAGATTGACTGGGTGTCACATGAGTGTAACATAACTTGAGTGTCACAATATCCTATCCCATATTTTTATTGTGCAAATATAGGTACAACGGTAGTATATTACAAATTTCGCTTAGACCATCTAGTGATTTAGCTTTTCAAGAGTCAAAACTATGTTGATATATAAAATAATATATATATATATATATATATATATATATATATATATATATATATGGGAGATGTTATAGTTACTACATTTTTTTCTTACTACTTGTTACTATCAAGTCTTAACTGTTGATTTCCGTCAATCTAACAGTTATAATTTATTAAAATTAATAATTAATTAATAAATGTGATCCAATAAATTATAACCGTTAGATTTGCGGAAATCAACGGTTAAGATTTGGTAGTAACAAGTAGTAAGAAAAGTAACTATAACATTTCCCTATATATATATATATATATATATATATATATATATATATATATATATATATATAGCGTTAGGATCATTTTATACCAGTGTAAGTTACACTCTCAATCTTGACCAATGATTCCACTTATAACTCTCAAGATTGAGTGTTAGACTTCTAACTCTTAAACCGGTGTAAGAATATCATGTTCCATATATATATATATATATATATATATATATTAAAAAAAGAGGAGAATTCATCCGAAGCCATATTATACATGCCGCAAACTTCACAGAACGTTCAATTTTATTTTTCTTTTATGATTATCATCAGCATCATTATTATTATTATTATTATTTTATCGAAGTTTGATTAGAGACCCTTCTCATATAAAGTTTTAATATGGCTTGGTGTGCGTGTGTGTGTGTGATTCCCATTTCGTTTGTCCAGATTTTTATAAGATCCCTGCCATTGATAGCAATAACTATACAATTCAGCCTCAATTTCAGCTCAGGAGTCAACAGAGGTTATAAAGTACTTCACACGTGCTGCTTCTGCTCCTCAACATATTTGTCAATGTTATTAAAACCAGCTCGGTCATTAACTCGGTCCATGTACTGGGTTAGTAAGTCACTGATTCAATCAATGAGTCACTAGTTCAACCGCATAACCCGGTAATTATATGCAATTTTATAATTTATATTAAAAATTATTAATATACTCAAATATCTAAAAAAAATAATAAAAATTTCAAAAAAATTAATATAAAAAATAATAAATCACATACTATTATACAATAAAGGATTAAATAAAAATATAATGATCGTGATACGGGGCTTTAAATTCAGAAAATGACATCTCTAACTATAAACCAAATCAAAATTTTCTGCATAATGCACAATTGAGATAATATTAATTTTGTAGGTACATAACTTATGTAAGTCAATAAGCAAAAAAAATATTCAAATATGTCCATTATGATTTTTTTTTTAGGATCAGGCCGGGTCACCGATTAACCGACCGGGTCACCGGTTTTCATGAAAACCGACCAGGTCGGACCGAGTCGCACAGGTTCTGATGCATAACCGGTTTGTTGCTTCAACTGGACCGATTATCAAGGAAGCACGGACACTTGTAAAAATAAAATAGGGAGAGTCGTGTCTAACACGCTCCGACACGGCGACACGCTCCGACACAGTGTCGGACACGCGGTCAACTTTTTCCGACACGTTGACCATTCTGACACGCGAATTTGATCGTGTTTGACACGGTCAAATGACATTTTCGTAATTTTTTTTTTAATTTTGTTTAATTTTTTTTTAATTTAAAATATATTAATAAAGCTTCTACCAGATCATATCAATTTTATTCTTTTGTCTTTTTTCCCCTTAAGTAGATAAGAGATCATCTCAGAATCATTGTTGTCAATTCCTATCACGCTCTTGTTGTATCTCCTTGTCTCTGATCTCTCTCTAATTTGATTTGATCTCTCTATCTGATATTATATATCTATCATCCCAGTTCTTATTTTTTTTATTAAAGCTTCCATCTTTATAACGTGTTGATGGGTATTATTAATTTAGTTTCATTTTTTTGTTAAATTATTAAATATTAAATGAAATATACACTATATAAATTTAAAATATTATTTAATATTAAAATGTGTCCCAACATGTCGAAATCCATAATTTTTTAAGATTGACGTGTCGGAGTATCGTATCGTGTCGTGTCACATGTCGCGTGTCGTATCGGTGCTACATAGCCGGTTATATAACCGGTTTTCAGATCGACCCGGCCGGGTCAGTCCGGTTTTAGTACCTATGATATTTGCAACTACCACCGTGGTTAGCACCATTAAATGATGAGAAAAACATCCAAGAAAACCAAATTCTCAAAAGCTACAACAACGTTGAAAGCTAGAGCACTAAAAATTTCTTATTCAATTCTCTGGGATGCAATGCAATGAATATGCATTTGGACAAGAATGATAATCCACAATTGTGAATCTCAGAACATGTTAGAGAATATGAAAAGTAACCATCTAATAACAACCACAAAAAATTAGCACCTGAAACGTAACACACTACTGCTAAGTGGAAAATATAAATGCCTGTGGGAGCAGTTTTGATTCCTGCTCCAATTGTAAAAGAGCTTCAGCCTTATATTATGCTGAGTGGCAAAGATCCCTTGATGATAGGATTGTTATGTGTTGACCAGCATTTTATTAGCTAGATCATCATAGTATAACTGAGCACACTTGGGTGTACTTATCTTCCAAACTTTCTACTGAGGCTATACAAGACTTCGAGATGGACCATGCAACAATTTAACAAATCCAAGGAAGCTTAACTTTCCA